GAAAGGAAACGAGAGGATTGAAATACCAAATGAAAATATACTGGAAAACATGGAAAGGAAACGAGAGGATTGAAATACCAAATGAAAATATAATGTAAAACATGGAAAGGAAACGAGAGGATTGAAATACCAAATGAAAATATAATGTAAAACATGGAAAGGAAACGAGAGGATTGAAATACCAAATGAAAATATAATGTAAAACATGGAAAGGAAACGAGAGGATTGAAATACCAAATGAAAATATAATGTAAAACATGGAAAGGAAACGAGAGGATTGAAATACCAAATGAAAATATAATGTAAAAGGAACTATGTATTAGAAGATGTAAAGGAGAAAATGGGTGTAAAAGAAATTAAAATAGGTAACCAAAAATAAAAACTTTGTTTTAAAACAAAAAAACCCAATTTTTTTCTGCTGGATGCATAGAAGAAACAGAACAAGATAGAACAAGATTTCCCAAACCTTGGTAACTTTTAAGAAGCGTGGACTTCAACTCCCAGAATTCCCTCATGCTGGCTGAGGAATTCTGGGAATTGAAGTCCACTCAATTTGTTCCCCCGGGCCGATGCAAAGAAAGAGATTTTTTAAAGCACAATTTACACCCTTGTCAGCAAAAGCTCCAAATCACCAAGCAGTCCTCGACTTACGACCATAAGCGAGCCCCAAAATTTCAGTCGCTGAGCGAGACATTTTGTTCGGTGAATTTTACCCCATTGGCCCACCTTCCTTGCCACCGTTATTAAGTGAATCATTGCAGTCGATAACAGGATTGTGAAGTGAATCCGGTTTTCCCCCGTCGAATTTGCTTGTCCGAAGGTCACAAAAAGGGATCGCTTGACCCCGGGAGGCTGCGACCGTCATAAATACGAATCAGTTGCCAAGTGTCTGAATTTTGATCACCTGACGGGGGGGGGGGACGACAAAAGTTCTGTGAAAATGGTCGTAAGTTGCTTTTTTTCTTCCTTGGTCACTAAACGGACTGTTGTAAGTTGAGGACTACCTTGCTCTTTACAAGACTTCAATTAAACTTTGTCTAGTAATCAAGAAATAAGGGAAATTGGGTTTAAAATTAAACCCCTTGTAGGAATAATCCGATTTATACTGTATTAAGCTTCTTTTGAGGATTTCGTGGCCTCTGCTGCCCCCTCCTGCCCAAAGCTAGGCACTGCATCTCCCACCTCCTTAGGTGCTTGGGGTTTGGGATCGGTGGATGGCTCCCCCTGCAGGACGATTGGGGTAACAATCTCATTTCCATTCTGGTCTGTTTCCTGGTTTTCCTTGCCATCCCCAAATTTCTCCACCACCGGCATCTTTTCCAGGATGGAGGCTCTGGAAAAGGAAGGGGGAAAAAAATGGAATGCCTGAAAAAAAAACACATTATTTTTCAGCCCACAAGAGGGGGAGGATGGTGCAAAATGACAGAAATAACAGAGTCGAAAGGGGTCCTGCGAGGTCCTCTAGTCCAGCCCGCTGCTGGAGGTTGGAGTCTAGATCTTTCTCTGCTGACATCAAATCAGGAGTATGAACTGTTGGTGCGATGTTTCCCAGCTTTAAGATGGGTGGACTTCAACTCCCAGAATTCCCCAGCCAAAGCAAATTCCATGAGGCAAAAGAATACTCTTTGCTGGCTGCGGAATTCTGGGAGTTGAAGTCCGCCAGGCTTAAAGTGGCCAAGGTTGGAGAGCCCTTGCTCTAGATGGGTGGACTTCAACTCCCAGAATTCCCCAGCCAAAGCAAATTCCATGAGGCAAAAAATAATAATACTTTAAAACAGTATTTCTCAACCTTGGCTTCTTTAAGATGGGTGGACTTCAACTCCCAGAATTCCTCAGCCTGCCTCACCCAGCTGGGGAATTCTGGGAGTTGAAGTCCACCCATCTTGAAGGGAACCGAAAAATTCTAGTCTTGCTCAAAATTCAAAGCATTCGCCAGATAATTAAGCCAAAGCCTGCGTACTGATTTCAACGGAAGGGATCCGTCTGTTTTAAACAGAGAATTTAGTCTTTCGAACTCAGAACTGTCTTTTTAGATGGAGCCCGACGCCTACGAAGCCGTGGGGGTTTCTGGGAGTTGAAGTCCACACGTCTTTCTCAACTTTGCCCAGCTGGAGAAACGCTGAACTAAACAAAATGGAACCCAAATCCAGAATCTCTCTCTATAAAAGTGTGTGTAAATGTGTGTGTGTTCCAGCACCCCTTGGGATGTGTGTTCTGTTAAGATACAGCCTGTTGTGCCTTAAAAAGGCTTCTACTGTACCGCTGTAAAATGGCTTCTATTGTACAGCGCAGTGGAGTTGCCATGGTAACGGCTTCACAGTACTCCACAAGGGGGCTCCCTCTGGTAAGAGGGGAAATCCAACATTAGAAATGATGTTTGGTCCGGATATTTTCCCCCTATAAATCAATCCCCCGGCAACTCCGGGTTATCAGCTAGTGTGAAATAAAGTAAAACATTAAAAAAAACATTCTTTATCGACCATATTACAAATTGCAATCCAGGAGACTCTTTTGCTTGGCCCACTGGTTGGGATTGGGGGGTATGCCAAGGATTTGTGGGAATTGGGCCGATCAAGTTTCTTGTCCTCATTGTGCCTGCTGTTTTGGTTCGGCAGGGATTTCAGGATAAAAATGGGTAAAGGGATCGGGAAGAAATGAGCAAGAAGGGGTTGTTGAAAACTATGAAAGGCCTCCTTTCCTTTTTACGCCCTGCCCACAGGTTTCCACCCAACCCCGCCGACAATAAGGACTAGTAACTTAAGAGATTTGTTCATTGGATGCGGAGCGCTGGGCTTTTGCGAGACGAGACCAGCTAACAAGTACCTGAGGTGATCGTATTTTCGGAAAAGGGTGTTGTATTCCACTGCTCTCTGTTGTAGTTCCACATCGTGGCAGCTACAATAAATCGAAACCAAACTCCGAATCCGGCTTTGAATTGAGGAAGAGGAGAGGGGGGAAAAAATGAGAGAAAAGGAAGTTACTATCTCATTTCTATTCCTTTTGATACGTCAGTCCCTAAAATCCTACTTCTCGGCAGCTTGCAGGTAGTCCTCAACTTACGACCACAATTGAAACCGGTATTTTGGTCACTAAGTGAGTGAGCATGTGACCAATTTTGACAACCATGGATATCGTGGGCGTTGAGCGAATCTGGCTTAACTCACTGCCTGCTCCCCCGGGAAGGGGAGAAATTGCGGTCCACAGCACATCGCGACCGTCGTAAAGGGGAGTCAGTTGCCAAGCTCCTGAAATATGGTCATGTGACCCTTAGGCTTCCTTAGCAGCACAAAGCCGAGTCCTCGTCCTTCAGACGCCACAACACTTGGTTAGAATGCAGGAATGAACTAAGTGTCTCCTGCAAACTCCACTCCCCTGGCGCTCCCTCTTTTATTTCCTATGGGAGGGGCCGTTCACCGTCCACCAGTGGCCTTTCTCCCAAGTCGACCCTTGTTCCTTTAGCTGTTCCCTTCGTCTGGCAACTCTGCGCATGCGCACACTGGGAACAGGCTCCAGCTGTTCTTCTGCCTCACTGATGTCTGACTCCGAAGGCAGCTGATAACTGTCGGACGGCCCTGGCCCCCTCTCTGCCTCCGACGCAGAGTCCTCATCAGAGCCTTCCCCAGACTCCAGGACTGGCCCATGTTCCCCCCCAACCTCCTCACTTTCCGAATCTACTGCCGGTCGTAAGTCAAGGACTGCCTTTATCTATCAGGGCCTGTTATTTGCCCGGGACAAGGCTAATTTCCTGCAAGAACAAGACTCTATCACAACTCTAATCCCGCTTCAAAAGGTGGTTTTTAACCAGTCCCAATTTTCAATTCACAATGCAGTTCTCGGCAAGCGGCGCAACTTTTGGCTTTGATTCCCATAATCCCCTACCATCTGGGGATTATTGGAGTTAGGGGTTCCCCATTCTGAGCCAGAAAAGGTGGACAAGGATATGGTAAAAGGTTTTATCCCACTGACAGAGGGGAAGGTGAAGCTGCAGTTCTGGCAGCTGCCCACATGATGGCGCTCTCACATGAGAGAAAGGGTGCTACGGCGCCCTCTAGTGTCAGAGGAGAGAAAACTCACATTTTCTGGCCCAGGATGAAAATATTGATTTTTGAACAACAGGTTTAACCACAGTCACAAAAAGGGCATAAAATCAGGTCAGTCATGTAAATGACCCATTTTATGACTGCCACAACTATAATAAGCAGATTCCATTAAGTGAGTCATCACTTGACCACACAATAAGGAACCCACAAAACTGCACACTGGGTTTGATCGACGACGCAACAACTGGGGAGCAATTCTGCTTATCCTGAATCAATGATAGGATAATTTTTTTCCCCGCACTCACTTAATGTCAACGTCCTGGAGGCGCGTCCCAAGCTTCATGAGGGCGGTGAGAGCGTAGGCCCGGGTGGAGGGCAGGGACAGATGTGACTGGAGGACACGTTCCAGCAAGCTCAGCATGTCCTCGGCGTCTACCTGAGAAGATAAAAAATGAGGACACGGCGCAATGAGGATCAACAGCTACTAAGATTGTTGGCTGAGCAGAGACAAAAACAGCCAGGGAAATGATTGGCGCCTGGGAAACTCAGGAGTGCTCAGTTTATCAAGTACTTAGGAGGGAGGGCTTGGCAACACAAGGAAACAACAGCCAACGACATAATAGCCAGCCATCAACACCAACGCAATCTACATCTAAAAAGCTACATACAACAGGCGCCACACATGGAACAGAACTTCACCGACGCATTTCGGGAGATCTCACCTGCTGCGGCTCTACCTCATCGCAATTCCCGTCAAGAAGGAAGTGTCCATATTCGCCAAGGCACCAGGTGGCCACTTGGACCAAAGGTTGCTGTGATGGGACAGAAACCAAGTGCTATTACGCCACATCCAGGTGGTCCCCGATTTACGACCATTCATTTGTCTCAAAAAAAGTGACTTGTCACGAACCCATCCTTGCACTTACGACCGTGGCAGTATCCCTGCAGTCATGGGATCGCAACCATGGCATGTATTTGCAGCCATGTCCCGTGGTTGACGTGGTCATCTTTTTCAGCCAGCTTCCAACAAGCAAAGTCTGGATTCACTTAATGGCCGAGTGATTTGCTTAATGACGGTGGTGGAAAGGTCATAAAATTGGAATGTGTTCCCACGTTGGAACCTGATAGTGATGGTTGTAAGTTAAGACGGCCATAAAATGGGTCACCCACATGACATATCTGATTTGATGAGCTTTTTTGTGACTGTCATTAAGTGACCATTGTGGTTGTTAAGTGACTGCTATGCGATTAAACAATCGCTAAGCGGCCAGTCGTAAGTCCAGGACTATTAATATAATATTTACTTTTCATCCTGGGCCAAAAACTAAGTGGTGCGGTGGCCTAGAGGTAGAATTCTCACCTCACAATCAAGAGGCTGTGAATTCGATCTTAGGTAGAGAAATATATATCTCTCTCTGGATACAATGAATATATATCTGCTGAACAAAACTCCACATTGGCAACAGGAAGGGCAAAGGGCCAGTAAAACATTCACCTTCATTCAGTTGCCCAGACTCCACTCCGCAAGGGATTATGGAGTCGTTAAAAGATGATCTTGGGCTGAAAATGTTGAGTTTTCTTTCCTCTGATCCCTAGAGGGCGCCATAACCTACTTTCTCTCAGGCCGAAGCACCACCATGTGGTCAACGGGTGGAACTGCGGCCTCAGTTTGCAGCTTTCAGTGGGATAAAACTTTTTTTTTCCTTCCTTTTGCGACGCTATATATTGTTCTTCTTAGGCTGACTTCAATCTTGGGCCCCAGGATAGATCAGGGATGTGCTAATCCCCCTTCTTTCTGTTCTGAAACGATCCCCACCGCGATCTATTCCGGTGGGATCTACTCCGAGCAAGGCCTGTTCCCTCCGCTTAATGCAATTTCCTTCTGCTCAATGTAATTTTTAAGGCTGGAGAAAATGCTGAATATTCTTTTACGGATTCTGAATGTGCCACACGTAAGCAGAACCAGAAGAGAGCCGTTCTCTGCGTCCGCGTCTTGGCAAGCAATTAAATCTGGAGCTCTACAAAGCCCTTCCTAAAATATTGATGTCCTGAGCGCCTTTTAATCCTGCAGCAGGGACACCTGAGGTCAAATAAGCCAAAAATGGCCGCCGGTAGCACAGGATTTCAGCCCCAGATTCACCGCTTCGATCGCCTGTCCTGGATGGATTGTACCGTTCCTGAAAACTAGAGCGGTAAATATGTCCATAACCGTGATCCTAAGCGAAATATTGATATTATAGGTAGTCCTCGACTTACGGACGTTCATTTAGTGACCGTTCGAAGTTATAACGGCACTGAAAACAGTGACTTCTGACCAGGGATGGAAAAATTTTAGCAACTGGTTCTCTGTCCGGTTGCTGGGTGGGCGTGGCCATGGGGGCGTGGCCTCCTCGGCCTCCTCACAGCAGGGGAGTGTTTTCCCCCTCGCCATGTTCCGAAGGCTTTTAGCGAGACTCCGGGAGGGCGAAAACGGTCTCCCCTGGGCTCCCGAGGCCCTTCAGAAGCCAGAAATGGGCCCGTTTCCGGACTTCTGGAAATTCCGGAAATTCCGCTAAGCCTGTTTTTCAGCCTCCGCCCTTTCAGAGCCTCCCAGGTAATGGCATGATGAAGAGGCCGTGTGGAGACTCCCGGGAGGTGCAGAACAAGATGGGTGTGGCCAGCCGGTCCTTACAACAACCAGTTCGGCGAATCGGACGCAAAATTAGCATCCAGTTCACCCGAACTGGTCAAAACCGGCTGAATCCCATCTCTGCTTTTGACCATTTTTCACAGTTACACTGCAGCATATCTATGACTATGTGATCAAAACTCGGGCGCTTGGCAACCGGCTCATATTTAGGACGGTCACGGTGTCTTCCGGAATGTTCTTTCGATTTCCCACGTCTACCTCAGACTTCTCGGATCTCGTAGTGGTCTCCTATCCAACCAAGCCTGAGCTGAAAGGGAACTTGTCTCAAATGCAGGTAGTCCTCAACTTTCAACCGTCCGTTGAGTGACGAGAAAAGCGACTTACGACTGATTTTCACACTTAAACTGTGAACACCAAAATTTGGAAGCTTTGCAATGGCATTCATATTTACGACTGTCGCAGGGTCCCAGGGGGTCACACGATCCCTTTTTGCCAACGAGAAAAGTCCAGGAGGAAGCCTGATTCACTTAACAGCCGTGCGACTCACTGAATGACTGCAGTGATTCCCTTGATAATTGTGTCAAGAAAAGGCGTCAAAGGGGGCAAAAGTCACTTAACCAATTTGGTCGTAAGCAGGGGTGGGATTCAGTCAGTTCGGACCGGTTTGCATGAACCGGGTGCTAATTTTGCATGTGGTTCGGTGAACCGGTAGTTGGAAGCACTGGACCTGCCCACCCCACCCCTCCCAGGAGTCTCCACGTGGTACATTCATGCCAGGTAAATGCAGGGCCCACGCGGAGACTCTGGGAGGACTTCCGGAGCATAGGGGAGGCCGTTTTCGCGCTCCCGGAGGCTCGAGGAAATCCTGGGGAGGGCGAAAACCAGAGGTGGGTTCCTACCGATTCGGACTGTTTCGGCAGAGTAGGTAGCAACTCGGCCTGCCACACCCCCAAAACCGGTTCTCTCGGTGGCGCCGTAGGAGCAGCCATCATGTTTAGTACTGTGCATGCGTGGTGCAGAAGGCTAAATAGGCCACGCCCCCCATGGCCACGGCCACGCAACAACCGGGCAGAGAACCGGTTGCTGAAATTTTTCAATCCCACCTATGGTCAAAGTGTGGTCGTAAGACGAGGACTGACTGTAGTTGTGGTCATAAGTCGAGGACTAACTGAAGCAATAATTTTTTGGGGATAAATCTTTCCTGCCGGATTCGTTTAGGCCTCAGGATATCATGCGAATGCTGAAACCGTCACATACCTGGGCGATATCTTGGCTCACTGCGGCGTACAGCTGGTGCACGGCGTAACTATGAAGCTCCTTGGCACCTCCAATCAGGTGGATGAGGTTGGGGACGGCGTCATCCCGGATGTAGCAGCCCGCCTGCCAAGGAGAAAACCGAGTAGGTGACATTTGTCCTCCATTCAGAAGATCCTCTTTGTTTACTCTGACTTTAATCACTCTCCCCCCACAAGAGGCGGGAAAGGAAGATCCATAAGAAAATCTTGTCTTTTTTATATAACTTTCAAATAAGGAAGAAAAAAAAGAGAGAGAGAGAACCAGGTCATCCCCTGAAGAAGAGAATATGTAAACACAACAACGGATAGAGTGGATGGAGGGAGGAGTAGAAGGAA